AAATAATAACAGTGTTTTTTTCTCAACGTTCGTAAAACAATACAAATAATAAAGATTGATGTTAATAAGCTCTCACACACGAGTACATTGAATAATTTTCATCTTTCAAAAAACTAACCAAAGGCTGTGGTTAAACACCACACAATTGGTTGCTACTATTGGTGTGGCCAGTAATCCGGATTTCTTCTCAGAAAGCAAATTTACCAGGAGACCCCTCAAGCTATCAATGAGAACGAATTCAAAACCAACAATCTTCTACCTCTCGTTCCAAAAAAAAAAAAAATACAAAAATGAACAAATGATTTCAACCTTTGTTCTTGTTGCTTCACCTTCTTCTTCTTCTTCTTCTTCTTCTTCTTCTTCTTCAAATATTTCAAACAAACTCTGTACTAATCCACATGTAACAAAAAAATGTACAAACAAGTCTAACTTGTTGTAATAAATTGTTCAGAATTTTTCTATCAGTGTAACGAAATGTGACAAATCCCTATGACCCAGTTTCAGTCTGTTTATTTGTCTGTCTGACTGTCTGTTAATTTTTTCTTAATTCAACCAAGTGAACAGTGAGTCAACTATAAAGAGGTATAGGTTGGTTAAAACCAAAAGTAACGAGACTTTCCACACACACACACACACACACACACATCGGGAGCAGACGAATTTCGTAACACGTGACAGACACTGTGTTATACGATTAACGTTGCAATACTGCAATAACTTCTCTATCGGTGGCCAAGAGTACTTAGGTGCAACAGATACCTTAGCTAAGTCCGGTGGATGACGTTTCGTAGAACCTAACAAGATAGAAAGAGATAGAACAACAAAAAGAGTGGGAGAGAAGAAGAAGAAGAAGAAGAAGAAGAGGAAGAAGGAAGATAAAAAAAAAATATCTGAGTGGGGTTAGTGGCGGTGTAAATTGATACAGTCGAGAATCGAACCATGCATACGATATAGTGAGGGTACCTTTGGTGTCCGGACACTTACCGCATGCGTACACGCCCACGTATACTGTCCCGTTTACATTAGTTTACAATGTGTATCATTCTGTTTTACCTTGGTGTTAGTTTATACTATATTTGTATATACATACTTATATATATATGTTTAAATACATAGCCAAGAAGCATGACAATGCAGTACAATCTGACATCTGAAAGAGATAGAAAGAGTAAGAAGAAGGCGTGAAGGTTTCGATAAGATACACCCGTGTGAAACGACCGGCTTCCCTTAAGGATTTGGCTCCTGAGATCGGCTTAATCGAATCGTGAGTTATTGCTAGGTTGAAAGATTTACTAAAGTTGCTTCGAAAATATTCGAAAGATGAGAGTTCGAGATCCTCTTCTGCCACCCAGTTTAGTCGATGATTTCATTTTTAAATAATTATACCTTTTTTTTCATGAATATTTTATAGTTTTTTTCTTTTAAATAAAATGTTATTCAAATTTTATTACCTTTTTATAAATTAATTAATTAGTATAGAACTAGTGAAGTTGAAAGTTCAATGTTTTGTTAATTATATTTTTTTATTTGGAGAATATTTTATATCTTAAATTAAAATATATTAAATTAATCTACGATCAGTGAATTTCAGGATTCCATGTTTTGAGAATTATATTTTTCATTAAAAAATATTTTATATCTTGTTTTATAAAAAGATAAGTTATTTTAATTAAATTATATTTATATAAATTTATATTATTATTATTATTTTATAGATTAATCTACCATCAGCAAAGTTAAAGATTCAATATAATATATTTCAATAATTACACTATTTTAAAAAAATATTTTATATTTTATCTAATTAAAATAAATTATTCAAACTATATGGTATTTTATAAATTAATTTCTATAATTATTATTTATATAATTATTTTAATAATTTATATAATATTAATATAATAAAGATTAATCTATTACCAATGAAGTTGAATATTTAATATTTGGAAAACTATATTTATTTTAAAAAATATTTCATATATTTTTTAATAAAATTAAATTATTTAAACTATATAATAATTTATTAATAAATTTCTATATTTATAATTTATATTATTATTTGAATAATTTATATAATAAATAGATTAATCTAATACCAATGAAGTTGAATATTGAATATTACAATAACTACATTTATTACAAAAATATTTCATATCTTTTATAATAAAAATAAATTACTTAAACTATATAATATTTTATAAATAAATTTCTATAATTATTATTTTCATAATTATTTTAATAATTTATACAATATCAATCTTACAGATTAATTAATTACCAATGATTTCATTAAATATTCAACATTACAATAATTGAATTTTCTTCTTTACTTCAAAACTATTTTACATACAATAAATTGGTAAATATAATATATATATAACATATAAAAATATTTTAATATCGAATAAATAAAATATGAAAATATCTATTTCATTTTCTACTCAAGAATCATCTAACATAAAACGAATAGATGCATGTTCATTGACGCGTGACCAATATGTGAAACACATGCACAAACCATATCGAATCTCATCTAACTACGACTTCGTTTTACACCAATAAGATCGAGAATTAACACGCATTTACTCGAGCACGCGGCTAACCAATTAACATTCGTTAATTATCAAGACACAATCTTTTCCAATCTGACACTCTCTTTCTCTCTCTTTCTACTACATACACACATGCATGTGCATACATTTACGCATACACATTTATATATGTGTACTCGGAATTCCTACGAGCTGACGACTAGTAAAACGCTTATGCAGTGTCATTGTTTAGAGAGAGTTAACTCAAGATTAAGTTTACACTAGCATAAGGGTTCTCAATTTATCAATAATATCAAATATTTTATTAACAAATGACATTTATAGTTTATTTTAACAATCCAAGTTCATTGCACAGATTTTTATAACATTTATAACATTCAACATGTTGTTTGTAAACTGTTAAGAAAATATTTATGAGCAAACTTTCTGCCATTTTGTTCACTTACTGTAAAAAAAAACCATAAGAGACTAACTTGAAGTATTAAAAAAATTGTTGAACGTACGAGAAGAGCAGGACTTTTGTTTTAAAGCTCGAGGCATGGAAGTTTTCATCGGTAAAGGATATATAACGAAGCCAAAATAATGGTTAAGGGAAGCAAAGGGCTCAGGTTAGCTGAGATTACCCTCCAGGGGAAGGGGAAAGGGTAAGAGGACGCGAAATCACGAAGGGAAGTCGTAACGCAAGACGTTTAATTGCGCAATAAATTGTGATTCTCCGATTTGCAACCCATTTCCTACTGCGGGGGCGACGATTGGTCGCTGTTAAATTGGCGCGTAGGTGCGATGGTTGGTACCTACGTGGTTGGTGTAGGCACGCATGCCGTGAAAGTCGGAAGTACCACCTCCCATCCTTCTCTTTCTTTCTTTCCCACTTTAAACTCGTCTTCTTCTTCTTCTTATTATTATTATTATTATTATTTTTCTACTATCGTCTTTTCGTTTTGTTCAAATACGCCATTTACATTTGTCACTTTCTCAATGATTTATTATTAATTATACATTTTTTTTGTTTAATACAAATTTATATTAATTTATAATTAACACTTTGACGGTCGAAGAAACGTAATCGTGAGTTCACAAGCAAGCAGTTATCGGCTGACAAAAAGCAATCTTGATGCAACCGTGACGTAACCCTGACAAAATATGCCGGCGGCAACCATAACGCAACCCTAACGAAACCCTGACAAAATGTGTTAGCGGCAAACCTGACACAACACTGACACAACCCTGACACAACCATGACTACCTTGGAAAGTATTGACGAAACCCAAATCCTACTATCAAATCAAGTCATTCCTGACATCAATCCACTCCGTGAACTCAACAAAGGTGTATTCAGCGTCATCTACGTACCCTGAAGCAATCCTGACGCAACCCTGACGATACCCTTTTTTTTTTCTTTCGTCAGGATAAAAAACCTTCATAGGCCCCTCAGGCCCGATACCAGCGGGAGTCTTAAATTCAATCCGCCTGAGGATATACCCCAAGATCAGGTTGCCTACCAACTAAACCCTGACGCAACCCCTGATACAAAGCTGACAAAATGTGCTGTCTGCAAGCGCAACTTTTTGTTTCCGAAACGTGTGGCCTTCAAAGTTTTAATAATGTCCTATCATTTTACTTTTGATTAATAATTTATCATGCTATGTTTGAAGGTAGAATATTTTTTTTTTTTTATTAATTATGACAAATTCCGATAGATCGTATTAAGATTTATTAAACGTTGACAGTCGATTTGTTAACCGACTCGACCGATCATTATGTAAATCAGTGTAACTTGTCAACAAGTTTTTAATCGTATATTAGTAATAATTAAATGCTAGGAAAAACTATCATGTGATTATCTAGTTTTTTTTTTTTAAAAAAAGGTATCTACAGTGACTCAGTAAAGTATTTGAACATTTATAGTGAAATATTCTATTTATTATAATAAATATATTATTAATATTGAATGTTGGTATGAGTATTTAAATTATATAGTTTTAAACAAATCCAAATATGTATATACAATAATTATAAAATTAATGTCACCAAAAGTTAATAAAAAATATGCATAATTGTTCACAAAATGTTATTCATGCAAAAGATGGTTTTACTAATTATTAAAAACTTCAAAATTATTTGTTTAGATACTTTACATTTTTTAAAAGTAAATTATAACACACTTACAGCCAATGTTAATAAATATATATCACCAATATAAATATATTCCAAATAAAATGTATTACTTTTGCATATTATTCCATACATTGCATAGTATTGCATATTATTGCATATGCATACAAATCTTCAAATAATTCAGTACTCAAGGAGTTAATAAAATATTTCATGGTAAATGCTCAAATAGATTTTTTTGTGTCACTGTACATAATAATTGAAATGTTATTTTATTATTATCATATTATTATGATCAGTAGTCTCGACGTAGAAATGTTTTGACTCTTGCAGATTCGCTGGTACAGACGGTTATTCTGACGAGCCGTACATTATTCCTAATTTCCGGACTGATCAGTACAGTTTCCGGAGCACCGTTTGGTTACGGTCTCAACACCGATATCACGGAATCTAAAAGTGAAATGGAACCTTGGTTGCAACCATGCGGTACTCCAATAACGGAACCAACAATACAACCAATCGTACGTCACAGTGTTCACAGACAATTGAAGAGGATACAAACACAAATAAGGATTGCTCACAATCACTATAAAGAATATAGAAATGATATTCGTGAGATTTACAGTAAGGTAAATATTATTTATTAAATAGAACATTAATTGTTTAATAATTAATTTGCATTATAACGAGAATTAGTTTTCCTTGTTCAAACATTCAACTTATGAATGACCCAGTATCACAGATAGAAAAACAAATGATTCTTAAGGTTTCGGTACCATAAAGGACAACCGGTAGGATGATGGTCCTGTATATTCTGATTTTTTTTGAAGCACCTAGAGACATCAACCGCGAGCTGAGTAATTTATTGACCTACCTATACTTACATTAACTAATTAAAACGATACGGAATAATTTATGTCGTTGTACTGAGATCGGCCAATTAGGCTTGGTACGTTTCTGACGAAGGCCAGAGAGTAATACTTACTCATTCGTAATTAATCATTCGCGAGAACTCGGGGTTAAGATTACGCGTGGGCGGTCTCGAGGCAATGCACGGACAACCAACACCCGGAGGAGTTCGCATCGCACGTGCGGTACAATGCCGACAACACAAAGTCCTACTTTTCCGTGAGCTACGACGATTTGCATTAGTTACGCGTGTACCCCGTCGTCGTTCCAACTGAAGCAGACTCGATTTTCTCGTTGACTATCTTACGAGATCGTTTAGATGCAAAGTCTAATGAATGGGGCACCGTACCAGTGACGACTTACCTTTACTATTCAGTTTCTTCGTATTAAAACGTGCACACTAGTTTCTCATAAGTGAAATAGTATATATTTTCTACCCACCCTCTCTATTTCTTTCTTGCTAAGAAATTACTAATCTTTTTTGCCCAACCCGTGAAGTAATCGAATGCAATAACAAAAATTCGCGTTAAATCATAAATATCGTATTTGCGGATAAAATGTCTACGTTCGTTTCTATTTTTTTTTTTTTTATTAATATAGCATAAATTTATTGATCGATCGAAAGGTTTCCTTTCCAAAGACCCCGGAGGACATTTTGCCATAAATCGAGTTATGGAATTCAATTTTTCTTTTGGAATTTATTTCATTCCCGTAATTTTTTCTTTTCTTTTTTACTTACCACTACTTAAATAAATTGAAAGTAACAACACGTGCACGATCTTCCTCGAAACCAACGTCAAAGACTAAACACAACTCGGACGTATCATTTTTCTTTCGCAGGTGGATAAAGCGCTGAAAGGGCAGTACAGTTTAAATTGGCTTCCTGACAATACATTCGCATGGTACGAAGGGGAAATTTGGTGTCTAGAAAAGGGTAAAAAAGCTGAACGTGTACTTCCCCTTCTTCACGATGGCCTTCAAAGGTTCGCCATTACTTTCCTAAATCTACGAAAGTTCGAACTCAAATCGGAAATCAATGCCGATCTTAGAATAAGCAAACGAAACGAGATCATGGATACCATGTTAACCGAAACACTTCGAGTAAGTTTTTTTTTTATTATTATGAACCCAAAGTTCGTGCATTTTTTTGTATTTCACTTGCATGTGAAGTCATATTGATTAACTTCAAACAAAAAGATTGCACTTGAACGCACAACGAACTCAAAGTTCGTACATATTTTGTATTTCAGTCGCAAGTAAAATAATTTTGATTGATTTCAAACAAAAAGATTGCAGTTGAACGCACAATGAACCCAAAGTTCGTGCATTTTTTTGTATTTCACTTGCATGTGAAGTCATATTGATTAACTTCAAATAAAAAGATTGCAGTTGAACGCACAACGAACTCAAAGTTCGTGCATATTTTGTATTTCAGTCGTATGTAAAATAATTTTGATTGATTTCAAACAAAAAGATTGCAGTTGAACGCACGATGAACCTAAAGTTTGTGCATTTTGTTCATTTCAGTTGCATGTGAAGTAATTTTGATTGATTTCAAACATAAGATTGCAGTTATCTGAATGCACGAAATTTGGATTCATTTCATATTGGTTTACTTCAATCATTTGTATACAATTTCTTTTTTCTTGTTTAGATACTTTGCGAAGTAGAAACAATGATGACCAATCTAGGATTAGAAATTCCAACCTCGCACAAAGCAGTCATAGTTACGGAAAATCGTGACTGGTCTAAAGAAGGTGACTTAACATTATTACTCATACAAGATTGGGGTATACTGAGATTGTTCAAAGTATTTTTGAGCGATTGGAAAAGTGCATTTCGTAATGCAACAATGAGAGGACCAGGTACCTGCGTTACCACAGCACCAAAACCACCAATGTTACGACCAAAAAAAAACGATGATACTATAAAAAGGAAGAACAAGAAGAACCCATGTCCTAAAAAGAAGAAAATGAAGAAAATCAAGAAAGATAAGGTCAACAAAAAATTGACAGATAGTGTGCGTCAAAATTTGAATCAAACTGAAACTTTGATACGAGGTACAAGACTATGTCCAAGGAAAAGACTGACGAGGAAGAAACAAATTACTATGCAAACTAGCACGACGCAATCAGCAACGACTATTCATGATTTCGAGTGATTTATTTTTAACAAATACATTTTTTCTATCTTTAGTATAAAATGATAATCACACATTCGATGTCGAGCACTCGCAAAAAGGAAAGAATGTCTTCTCTTGCACAAGATCATCAACGAAAATGATCGATGTATAATTCATAAGCACACACGTCATAGGACACACACATCATCATCAACCATACGTTCTTTTTATTTATTGCATCTTTCGCCACAAATCATTTATTTGTCTTGTCGCGTTTATATTTTTTAATTCTTCTTTCTCGATCTTACATCAAAGAAAGGAATTTTAATACCATTACTCACCCCTACTTCTTTCAAAAATTCGTACACGCGAATTTTTTATTTTATTTTATTTTTTTTCTTCTAAAAGAAAACGAATGATAAATTATTTTCTATCTCTCTTTCTCTCTTCCTCTCTCTCTCTCTCTCTTTCTGTTTTTTTTTTTTTTTTTTATATTTTTTGTACGTATCGATTTATAAACGTAAGGCTTGCTTTTAAATTGAAAGCCAATTATTTTTGTCACTACTAGAAGACCAGTATTAAAAGATTAACTTCGAAACAGTATTATAACTAATGTAATAAATAATAATAATAATAATAATAATAATAATAATAATAATAATAGAGGTTATAATTAATAATTTTTGATGCACAGAGAGACTTATCGATCGATGTTAAATAAAAGATTTTTCAAATTAACACGATCGATCGGGATGTAGCGTCGAGAAGGCACTCACCTGGGAATCACCTAGCCATTTGTATATATATATATATACACATTTACATATATGTATATATATGTATACACTTTTCTCTTTTTTTTTTCTTTTTCTTCTTCTTCTTTCCTTTCTCGTTTTTTATTCTATTTTATTTTTTT